AAATAAGTATGATTTTGAAATGTTTAAAAAAACAATGCATGTTTTACATTGTTATTAAATTTTAAATCAAAATCAAAATAACATCAAATTTTTCAGATATCTGTGTATCGATTTTTTATTGATTGCATTTTTAAACAATTTTAAGCTTCGTATTTGTTTTGTTTTTATTAATAGCGTAAAGATTTTGCCCCCCATAATGGCCGATTTTTGCTTTACTTTTTCTTATACCGATATACGGCAGTTAGACATCAAGTTATTCTTACAGGGTTATTCATTCTTATATGCGCGTCAATTCATTTTTATATGCGCCTTTATTTATTCTTATATGCACATTTATTTATTTTTATATGCGCTTTTATTTAATTTTATATGAGCATTTATTCATTTTTATATGCGCATTTATTCATTCTTATATGCGCATTTACTCATTTTTATATGCGCCTTTATTCATTCTTATATGCGCGTTTATATATGCGTCAACCACCCATAAAATCTCTAATATAATTTAATATAAACGATAAATACGCTTTTAAATTTTTATATAGACATATTTAAAATATAAATTAGGTTGTTTTCATTGTTATTTATTTAAGAAATGGTTGCCGAGCCATCGCTTGATTTATATAACTACGCATATGGTTGTAAAATGGAACTATATTAAACTCTGTAGTATCCATAATATTTTTAAGTTTCCTGATTACCTCATCCGTATTTCGAGGCCTTTCTCCCTGCTTGTAAGTATGTTTTAAAGAAGAAAAAAAATTCTTCTATTGGATTAAGCTGGTGCTTGTATGCTGGCAGATACTTAATACCTATACCATGAGAGGCTAGTGTTTGCCTAACAGAAAGACTCCAGTGGAATTTACAATTGTCCATAACAAGCACTGGCGCTTCCATATTTGCATTCCTAATCTCTGGTGCCATCATTGTAGTTATGAAAGTACAAAATGAATCTGCATTTCAGCCTCCAGTTTTTGTTTCATAAGCAAGCACTCCCATTGTTGAACAGCACAAATTAAACTAACATTCTTGCCACGATTTGCGGGTGACTGTAAAATTGCTGGCGCACCTCTTAGCAAATAACCATATGTGTTGTTAGTGTGCACATTAAATCCAGTTTCATCCAAATAAACAAGTTATTCATCTAAAATTGCGTTAATTTCGCTTGCAAATGCATAGCGTGCATTAATAATTCGTGTTGAATTTCGTTCTTCTAGCACATGCACAACACGTTTTCTTGATAAATCTGAGCGTTTGAGTTTTCTTGAAATAGTAGACTGAGACATGTTAAAGTCTGCTGCAGAAAGATTTTCTTTTATTGCTTCTTGCGTGCAAAGATTGTTTTCTTGTACGCATAATTCGATAATATTTTTTATTTGAGCGTTTATAGATCTTTCACCTCGTTTTTTATCAGAAAACGACTTGAATGCAGTCATATCGTAGAATTCTCCTCTGTTTAACTTAACGGCAAGATTTTAAACTGTGCGCTTCGATAAATTAAGAGAAGTGGAAATGCTTGTTGTAGATTGATTTTTTTCAACTAAATGCATTTCAATGTGCTCTGTGCAATGTGCTTTTGTAACATTTTTCCTTGTTTTATGATTGGTACTGCTATTTTCTATTCCATCCATAGGGTAAAAATTTGATAATAATAATTATAAATAATTAAACATTAAATCTAGAAAAATAAAGAATTATATAAATAATAACTTAATCAATCAAGAAATTTAATACAATAATACAATTTAATACAATGTAATAAAATTAAACTAAGAACTAATACTAGATTAAATAAACCATCATCAGCTTTTGAAGCAAATGTAAAAAGTCTTCGTCTTAAGTATTTTTTCTCGTTTACCAGGAAATAAGAAAAATTTGCTTTGAAATAATAAACTGTTTTTTCAATGATTTTATTAAATGTTTTTTTTTTGTTCAAATTGCTTTTTTACAATACACCAGTTCAAGCGAAGTTCTGCCATTTTTAATACCGCACAAAAAAAGTCCTGGAACGAATTTAGAAGGTTAAATATTTTCTCAGTTGCGAATTAGTGATAAAATTTATAGTGATAAGATGAAAGTTAATTGTGCTGTTATAGGATGTACCAATAGTTCCTATAAGCTAGAAAAATTGAAAAATAAAACGTGTTTTCAACACGAACGGAAGATATTATCCGAGTGTGGATTTGAATTACCATTCCGAATGTTTTGTTTCCCAAGTTTAAAGAGAAATAGCGAAAAAAGAAAACACTGGATTAGTCAGCTTAGATGAGAAGGAAAGAAAAAAGGAAGTGCATGGGAACCAGGAACTGCTGATAGAGTATGCTTTGATCATTTTGTTGATAAAATACCAACTGTTATGAACCCTAATCCAACAATAAATATGGGTTTTGATCAACCTGTACAAAAAAAAAACTAGAAGAACATTATTAAAGCACCCAATCACTTCTTTACATTGTTCTAATAAAATGCAGCCTGTAGAACCTTTGTTGACTGAAAAAAGTATTGTCACCAAGTTTCCAAGTGTTAGTTTTAATGCAGATGTTTTGTCACCTATATTATCAGGCCATACCTATTCAATGAGTTTACCACTACCTAATAAATGTACTTCATGTGAATACAAATCTTTACTTATCTTGCGTGAGTAAAGTAAATAGCCTTACTAATCAATTAAAAAAGTTAAAAATAAAAAAAACAGTCAAGTCTAAACAAAAATTCTTATGGAGATTAGTTAACAATGATAAGAAAATGAACTTTTATACTGGTATATCTTCCACAGCTATTTTTAACGTTATTTTTGGTTAATTAAAACCATTTTTACCCTCAATTCATTATTGGAGAGGCCTAAAACATTCACATAGCAAAGTTAAGCAACTCTAATCTGTATCTAAATGTAAACTGTTATCACACAAAGCAGAACTTTTAATGACACTTAAGCGGTTGCGCTTAGGTTTATTAAATGAAGATATGGCCGATCGTTTTGGTATTTCAAAATCTTTGTGTTCAAAAACTTTTACAACTTTTATTAGAATTATTGCTAATATTCTTGAACAAGCTATTATTGTTTGGCTGCCAAGTGAAGCCATAAAAAAAAAATTGCCACAGTCTTTTGTGAAAGCAAAGCATCACAAGTGTAGAGTGATTCTTTATCGTTTTGAAATATTTATTGAACGTCCAAAGTCCCTTTACAACTAAGCAGTGACTTGGTCTGATTATATCACAATACTGTGAAAGTATTAATTGGTATAGCACCAAATGGATACATAACATTTCTATCCAAATGTTACGGTGGCAGAGCATCAGACAAATTTATTACAAGTGACAGTGGTTTTTATGATCTGTTGGAAAGAGACGATGAGGTGATGGCAGACAGAGGATTTCTAATAAGAGAAGAACTATTATTTCGTTATTGCAGCTTATCAGTCCCACCAGGTGCAAGAGTAAAAAGTCAAATGACTGCAAGTGAATGTAAGAAGACTTCTGATGTTGCTAACTTAAGTTCACATAGAAAGGGCTATAAACAGAATGAAAACCTTTTAAATCTTAAAAAATGTATTACCTATTTCAATGCTTCATCATATGGATGATATTATTTTATCGTGTGCAGCTTTGTGCAATTTAAAGCCTGCTTTAATAAAAAAATTGTTCAAATTTTTTAAAATGTATATATATTTTTTAATTTAGTACTACTCTTAAATGCTTAATACAAGGAAGGGTGTAAATTTTATTTCTGACCTTAAAAATAGGGGAATCTTAATTTAAGGGTTGGCTTTTTTTTTTTTACAGAACATGCATAAATCAATTTAAGTTAGTGTAGATTGTGGTCAACTGTGCATCTTTAAAACCTGTTTTATAATTACAATAGGATTTAGTTTTCTTGTATAAAGTCAGGAAAAGCTTATTTTATTAAAATCAAAACATTATTTTCAACAAAGATTAAAGAGATTTTTTTAATTTTTGGTGTTAATAAATGGGAGGGGGGATGATCTTAAGAAACATTTGTGGGTGGGAAAACTTTTGGAAAATTACTAAACTTCCTCCCCTTCTTGTATTAAACACATGATAGTACTGAGGTTGTATTTTTTTTATTTAATTACTGAGGTTGTTTTTTTAATTTTTATTTTTTAATTACTTGTAAGGGATGCCGGACACCACCGTGCACTTTTAATGAATACATGTGTTTTATTTTATTACTTCTTTTTACTATAATAAGAGGCGTGGATAAACTTTTTGATTTTGAGTAACTTTACTTAAATATTGTTACACCATTATTTGGATCTTATTGTCTTCTTTTATAGGAAAAAAAAATCTATAAATGCCAATTTAAATATAAGAAGGGTTTTATAATTTAAAACACAGATTTTCATTTTCATAATTTTATTCCAATCAGTTAATAGTAAAATCTACTAAGGCAGTATTTAAGTAATGATCGTTTTAATACTTAAAAAAATCAACTTTCATACTCAACCAACCAGCTTCATCAAATGCAATTTTATCAATTATATAACCATGAGCTGTCCATACCATAAAATAACACTTAATCATCTTAGCAGTCCCCATTTGAACCTGACATTGAGTATAGTATCTATGCTTTTTGTTAATGACAAATTTTTCATTTAACTTTTTTGTAATATAAGGAAGAGATATATTAGGATCTTGTGGTGATGTATGGTTTATAGAAAATGGACATTTTATTTCTAAGCAAGCTGGCGGGCAACACGAACAACGAACAATTCTATCAGGGCTTCCACCTATATAGGGCATTTCTACATCTAAAAATAATCCACATTCATTTACAGTTAAATTTTGATGAAAGGATTTCATAACTTCAAAAAACTGGCATGCTGCTTCAACTTCCATCACTCTCCCGTACTTTAATGCAGGTATATCTGGGTTCACAAAAGTTAACCCTGAAGTACTTTGGTGTAATGACCACATGTCAACTTTGATGCCCATATTAATTTTTTTAATTTTTTTTAGAACATCGTGAGCTTTTGAAGCAGTTATAACTCAGAAAATTTATTGTCTGACATAACAATGATATCATCCATGGTCAAAATTGTAGGTTTGGTAACATTTTCAAACACGATTAATTCTTCCATATAATAAATTTCAGGTTTAGGTACAGCAGAAGTTATAATGCTATGAGGAGCAACAGTTTCGATTGCTTTTGCTATGTCTGTTAAATTTAAAAGCTTTATATCACAGTTTACGAATGGGCTGTAATTACGCTTTTCATTTGATACTAGTGAACGCTTTTTTTGGTGCTACTATGCTACAATTTGGAAGCCACTCTGATTTTGAACTAGTACAAGCTACATTTGTCAAACCATTTCTAACTGCAGCCTCTATTCGAAAGAGGCTTGCAGCAACATGATTACATGTCTGCGATAGACCAGCTAGACAAGTACAATGTGCTGCAATTATTTTAGCAGTTTTTTTATTAATAATAATCCATAGCTTGTGAAAGGGATCATTAATTTTTTCAGATTTCCTACAGTTCCCTTTTAAATAGCAATATTCACTCTCTATTCCTATTTGATGGTAAAATAAAGGTTCAAGCCAGCCACATTTAAAATAACTATAAGCTTTACACGTTTTGTAGTCACTTAAGTCTTTACTTGCAATTTCAGCAGGGTTAAATAACAAATAATTGTAAATATCAGGATATAACAATGTAGGCCAACAAGTTAGACCTTCATCTTCTGATAACCAACCATTACTAAGCTTAAAAGGATCAGGTAGTTCAACACCGTTTATAAAAAGTTTTCTTTTGTACTCAGTAAGTATATCATGATCCACCTCTTCAGCTGTTTTAATAAGCGTAACACTGTTTTCCACTGCACAATAGACTCGAGCTGCAAGAACTTCTTTCTTTCCAGATATTTTCAAGCCACGAAGACGTAAATAAGACTTCAGTTCTTCAACCTTCATACTACACACTGTATCATAATCCATTTTGATTTATATATGTTATATATTTGTTTTAATAGTGATAGTATTTGTTTTAGTCGTTTGCTTATACTTCGTTTACTCAAGAATTAAATTTTACGACTTGATTTGTTTCCCTTATAAACTCGATCCAGTCTTTCTTTTAAGAATTAAAATTCTCCGTAACGCGGAATAACCCTATAATACATCATTGGTCCCAGTAAGCAGACACTATTTGGCCCAATAGCGAACCAGGCTCGGCTGCCGAGCTATACCAGGCCTGGCACGCCAGCGCCGTGCCAGTGCTGGCGCAGCAACGTTTTGCTAGCGGCAAGCCAGCATTGATTCAATTTAGGGTCAACGCTGGCAATCAGCGAACGTTGCACTAAACGTCCATTATAAAAAATTGTCCAATTAAACTACTTTTTTCATCAATTTTTACTAATTTTACTTATTATACATATATATATATATATATATATATATATATATATATATATATATATATATATATATATATATATATATATATATATATATACACATATATATATATATATATATATATATATATATATATATATATATATATATATATATATATATATATATATATATATATACATATATAAATTTTATATTGTTATATAAAATAATTATTTCTATTATGAATGTAGGTTTTTTTTTTTTTTTTTTTACTATTTGTTAAAATAGACATTAGTTAAAAATAAAAAACAATTATTTAATTCATATAATATATTGTTTGTTAATAATTTACAAGTTAATAAATTTGCATTAAAAATATATAAAAAATAAATGCATTAAATTTATCATTAATAATATAAATACTTGTAAAGCTTATAAAAATGTCAAATATACAATTAATATAAAACATAACATATAAAACAGATGATGCAAGACTTTGAGAACATACTTTGTCAGATTCATCAAAAATAAAGCGGTAATGATAATCCAGATAAAGGTTTTGATGTCAATGATTGGGCAGTATAGCCACGATTTTTTGTTGAACTAGTTTTTTGGATGGACTTTTTTTCTGCTCTTTCTTTTCTGCCTCTATTTCTGTCTATAGCTCCAGAAAAAATAGTCACAACTGCCTTTTAAATTTCGTTGTATGTGGTATCTTTTGTAAAATTTCTTTGTATTGCTTCTATAAACATAAATGCAGTCATATATCAAGTGTTTTTATGACCAAATAATAAGAGTATAGCTAAATATAGCTGTTGTATATATATATATATATATATATATATATATATATATATATATATATATATATATATATATATATATATATATATATATATATATATATATATATATATATATATATATATATATATATATATGTATATGTATATGTATATGTATATATATGTATATGTATATATATATATATATATATAATATATTTGTATATATATATATATATATATATATATATATATATATATATATATTCAGAATTAAAAAGTCTTTTTTTTCAAAAGGAATGACCTTTATAATCTAAATTGGAAATTCAAAAAAAAAAAAAAACGTTTAGAAGGGGCCAATAATACATAACATGCTACCTATATATATATATATATATATATATATATATATATATATATATATATATATATATATATATATATATATATATATATATATATATATATGTATATGTATATGTATATGTATATATATATATGTATATGTATATGTATATATATATATATATAATATATTTGTATATATATATATATATATATATATATATATATATATATATTATATATTCAGAATTAAAAAGTCTTTTTTTTCAAAAGGAATGACCTTTATAATCTAAATTGGAAATTCAAAAAAAAACAAAAACGTTTAGAAGGGGCCAATAATACATAACATGCTACCTATATATATATATATATATATATATATATATATATATATATATATATATATATATATATATATATATATATATATATATATATATATATATATATATATATGTATATGTATATGTATATGTATATGTATATATATATATGTATATGTATATATATATATATATATATATATAATATATTTGTATATATATATATATATATATATATATATATATATATATATATATATATATATATATATATATATATATATTCAGAATTAAAAAGTCTTTTTTTTCAAAAGGAATGACCTTTATAATCTAAATTGGAAATTCAAAAAAAAACAAAAACGTTTAGAAGGGGCCAATAATACATAACATGCTACCTATAAAGACTTTAATTTCAGGTAAAGATATTGCATGTGGAATAATAACTTTTTTGTTATAGCCATCGAACTTTAAGCCGTATGAATAAAAACAAGCAATTGCTTTTACTCAGGAATTGGTCAGCTTTACGTGAAAAAAAGCTTGAGTAATTTTACATAAGTTTTTACTCCCGTAAAGCAGAACAATTACTGAGTAAATTGCTTACCTTTACGTGAATAAAAATTTGAGAAAAACTGCTTAAGTTTTTATTCACGTAAAGCTGACCAATTACTGAGTAAAAGCAATTGCTCATTTTTATTCACCCGGCCTCTTGTGTCACGGAAGGAACCTATCGTTCCTTCCCTGACACAAGTTTTTAATGCCTTTAAATGAAAATTTAGAATTCTACTAACAATGTATTTTCTTAAAATTAAAAAGATATTTATAGTTAGTTTGTTAGGTATTTTTACCCCCTTCTAAACCTTTTTAATTTTTTTTAAATTTCCAATTTAGTTTATAAAGGCAATTCCTTTTGAAAAACACGACTTTTTTTTGTATCTCAAATCGAGCAGGTTTTGATTCGAAAATCGAATCAAGAATCAAATCAGCAATTTAAGGAATATGAGTTAAAATATTTCTTTATATTATATATTTCAAAGCAAAAAAAATAATAGCAAAAACTTTTTTTTGGTGCTTCATGTAGTTTTGAACAATTGGTAACAATTTTTAACAATTGGTAACAATTTTAACAACTGGTAAGAATAAAGAAAGTGCAAAAGTGCCCAATTATTCAAAAATACTACAACAAAAAGAAAATAAGTAAATATTTAATAACTTTAATCTTTTTTTTTTGAAACTCAAATTACTTTTCCGATTCAATTCGAAATTTTGAAGATTTACATGGCCCTAATGTGGCACAGTGCTCCATTGCAACCGCCAGGGTAAATTTTGGTTTAGTTCAATTTTTTTGGCTGAAAGTTATTATTAGGTTTAAAAAAGAAGTTTTGAGTTGTTTAAACTAACTGCTAAGCATAAAAATATTTGATTTCGTTTATAAATCAGAACTCAGTTTGGCAGTCAAACATTGGCGGCCCCCGGGCCGATCCGCAGACCTACAAGAGGGGGGCAATTAGACACTGATCATTATTTCTAATAAAATAAACACTGGTTGGTTGCCCCCTTTTAGAAGTCTTGGAAATGGTCTAGAGGGGGAAGCTGTTGATACTAATGACCACTTAATTTAGCCCTGTAATATATATATATATATATATATATATATATATATATACATAAGAATTATTAATACATATATATATATATATATATATATATATATATATATATATATATATATATATATATATATAATATATATATATATATATATATATATAAGAATTATTAATATATAGTACAATAATTAAAAAACTAATATAATCGTACTATATACAACAAAATAAAGGATAACAAAAGAATGTATTATTTTTAAATTATTTTTTCCAAATTCTACAACACTTTTTTTTAGCTATGTTGCATAGTCGTTATGTTCTGAACGTCGTTTATACTTCTTCCATACTTGGTAGTGGTGGTGGTGTGCACTCTCCCCTGCTTGTTCAGCATAAACACCTAAACCATGTTTATTATGTTGAAGAAACGGATAAAGATGGCAAACAAGTATATGGATTTTCCAGCTTACATTTAATTGGTATTCAAAGCTATCTTTCAGTTGAACTTGAAGTCTTTGAAATGAATCTTTGAAGTCCAAAACAGACAAAAACTCCTCTACTTTCATTCCAAATCCGTTATTTTTTACTATAGAAAATTTTCTGATACAACAAATAACTGGAAGAAGCAATCTTATTTTTGGATCTGTTAAGGCTGCACTCATCAGGTTAATCTCTAGATTATCTAAATTTTCTAAAAACCTTTGTGCATTATTGCCATCTAACCCAATCCCATGGTAGCCTAGTAACATAATATAATTAGTTTTTAGCCATTGGTCAAATCCAGGCCACAGAGCAATTAAAATCACAGAGCAATTAAAATTCACAAACATTGAAATAATCCCAATAAATAGGTGAAGCTCTGGAGGTGGGATGCTATGTTCAACCAATGTTTCTGAAGGCTCATCAAGATAAAGAACTCTTTCATTTTCTTATATCTGTAACCATCAGCAACAAACTTCTTGTAGTTGATGTCTATGGATCCAAACGTCCTTTTTACACCACTTTTAAGTAAGCATTCACTCTCACACCAAAGACATGCAAATTTGCCACTGTGGCTACTTAGACCAAATAAAGAATTTCCGCATTTAAGATCAGATGCAACTGAATATTTAACATCTTCCAACCGCAGTGGAGCTATAAGTAAAATAAGGTTTCCATTGTGTTCAGAAACATCCTCTACTAAAGACAAAATTATTGATCGTTTTACACCAGTATCATCAAGCTTTTTTGAGCTTGAATGCATGACTAAAGGATCAAAAACATTCAAAACACATTTTAGAAATCCCTGTCCTGAATCAACTGAAATTCTTGCTATACTGGAATAAGGATCTAAGCCTCGCTCGTTCATTGTGTGAAGAATAAGATCTGATGTATTTTTAACAAACACTGGGCTACGAGTTAACTTTTCATCTCCTGATATAAATGTTTCTTTAACAACATCATAAAACTCTGACAATATTATTCTAATATTGTCTTATATTCTGACAATATATTGATATTGGTATCAACCATGTTTTCACCTAGGTTTTCACGTAAGTTGGTGCAAA